TCTGTCCAAACGGCACTGTCAGAGGCTTTCAAAAACATTTGTTTCAAAGCATTGAACTTTTCCAAGCTGCAGTTTCCACCGAGCCATTTAAAAAAACATGTTGCATTTTCAAGTGTTCTTGTTGACTCTGCACCCTTCTTTCTCCTCTTCTGCCTTCAGGCCCTGCACCAAAACCTGGAGAATCTGAAACCCAAGATGAGGGGCAGCAAAACTGATCGAAAAGGCAGGGAAGCTCCAGTGACCTCCACAGTAGTACATGTTTGCTTGCGCAGTCTGATTGAAACCGTCAGATCAAATCTGCAGCAACACTTACCTGTCGATGTCTTGCTTTCCAGAAAGCTCGAGTGGTTCTGAGAAAGTCTAAACAGAAGAAAGTCTCGTTCCGCACTTACCTCGCTGACTCCGTGCTTCCAAATTACGGTGAAGTTCCAAAAACAAGTAAGCTGGATGCTCAAGTCCATCCAGAAGCTGCTTTAAGGCTCAAAAACTTGCGGACTTGCTTATTGATTGCCCCACTGCCACTAAGCGGCATTCTGACTGGTCCAGCTGCGTAGTTGCTTGACTGCCTTCTCGATTGACACTTCACCTCCGCTTGGACACATGCTTCTTGGCCTTGATTTGCTGAGCTGTCTCCCTGGCCGCTCTCAAGGCTGCATCGGTTCGGTCGCTTCCTTCAAAGGAAAAGACTCAAGGTGGAACAATTCTTCTGATTGGAAACGTACCGTTGCAGGACCATGCTTTGTTTTTTCCCCAACAGGAAATTTGAACAACCCAACGCAAGAAAACAACTTTTGCAAGATTTTTTTCTTTAAAATGTTTGCAAAAATAATTCTTCTGTCAAAGCCTTGAAGAAAGGACAAATCCTTTGTCCTTACCTTTGTCGTTCTCCTCATCAAAGTTCCCTTTGTCCTTACCTTCGAATCTTCGCCCTTCAAAGCTTCGAAGCCTTTAAAGCTTTTAAAACCATCGCCTGTTATTCGAATCAGTTTTTCAGAGATTGTTTTTTTTTTTTTTTTTTTTTAAACCAAGCTTTTACCAGAAGCCAGAAAACAACAAATGCTTTGCTTTGTGCTGAAAAAAAAACAACAACAGCAGTGGAAAGTCGAAATTAGCAGCAAAGCAGTGGAAACAGAAGTCGTAATAATCGTTGTTGTATTATGAACCAGTAGGAGTTTCATTTTAGAAGTAGGAACAGGAGCGGTAGAAAAAATAGCAGTAGTAGTATTTCTAGTAGTAGTAGAAGCAGCAGTACTAATAATAGTAGTAGTAGTAGTAGTAGTAGTAGTAGTAGTAGTAGTAGTAGTAGTAGTAGTAGTAGTAGTAGTAGTAGTAGTAGAAGTAGAAGTAGAAGTAGTGGTAGTAGTAACAGTAGTAGAGTAGCAGTAGTAGTAGTAGCAGCAGTCGTCGGAGCAGAGTGGTGGTAGTGGTTGGGGTAGTGGAAATGGTAATGGTATTGGTAGTAGCAAAAATAATAGTTGTTGTAGTAGTAGTAGTAGCAGTAGCAGTAGCAGTAGCAGTAGCAGTAGCAGTAGTAGTAGTAGTAGCCAGCGGCGCTTTAACCGTACACACTTTTTAGGGTTTAGGGTTTAGGGTTTAGGGTTTAGGGTTTAGGGTTAGGGTTTAGGGTTTAGGGTTTGGGGTTTAGGGTTTAGGGTTCAGGGTTCAGGGTTTAGGGTTTAGGGTTTAGGGTTTAGGGTTTAGGGTTTAGGGTTTAGGGTTTAGGGTTTAGGGTTTAGGGTCCTTAAACGGAAACATCACTCTTCAACCACAAAATAGAGCTGCCGCCTAGGCGAAACACATGTTTCACAGCCGAAAAGGGCTCAGTTTACGCGCCGCCGGGTAGTAGTAGTAGTAGTAGTAGTAGTAGTAGTAGTAGTAGTAGTAGTAGTAGTAGTAGTAGTAGTAGTAGTAGTAGTAGTAGTAGTAGAGTAGTAGTAGTAGTAGTAGTAGTAGTAGTAGTAGTAGTAGTAGTAGTAGTAGTAGTAGTAGTAGTAGTGGTAGTAGTAGTAGTAGTAGTAGTAGTTAGTAGTAGTAGTAGTAGTAGTACAGTAGTAAGTAGTAGTAGTAGTAGTAGTATAGTGTTTTTTGTAGCCAAGTAGTATTATAGTAGTTAGTAGTAGTAGTAGTAGTAGAGTAAGGAGTAAGTAGTCAGTAGTAGTATTATAGTAAAGTAGTAGTAGTAGAGTAGTGTATAGTAAGCTATTATAGTAGTAGTATAGTAGTAGTAGTAGTAGTAGTAGTATTAGAGCAGTAGTGTTAGAGCGTATAGTAGTGGTGTTGGTGTTGGTGTTGGGTGGTGTTGTGTTGGTGTTGGTGTTGGTGTTGGTGTTGGTGTTGGTGTTGGTGTTGGTGTTGGTGTTGGTGTTGGTGTTGGTGTTGGTGTTGGTGTTGGTGTTGGTGTTGGTGTTGGTGTTGGTGTTGGGGTCAAGAGCTTTTTTGCCTCCGAAAGTCCAGCTCACGCCCCACATTGGCGTTTCCACACAGGGCCGATTCCAAGCAGAAGGCGTTTCCGACCCTGGGGAGTTTCCCTTGTCAGGGTGCTTGCAAAAATGGATTGGCTGTTTCCAATCTTGGGCCGTTTCCCTTCAGGGGCCGTTTCCAAGCGGAGTGTGTTTCCCGCCATAGGGCGTTTCCTACCAGGGGGGGTTCACCCACTGCATCCTTGATGGCTTCCTGAACATCCAGGCTTTTGTGGATCGATTTGGTCTCTTTCCCCTTTGACTTGGCTTTGACTTTGGCCTTGGCGGAAAGTTGTGCGACATATGACGTGCGTGCTGGACATAGTTCGCACTGCGTCCATCTTCCCCACTGGTGCCCAGTCGATTGCGAACTGCAGTGTCGAAGCAGATCGGAACACTGGGTGGTGAACGTCCTGCCCACGCAGAGGTTTGCAGCAGAGCTCGTTTCCGTGGATCTGATGTGTTCTAGTGCGAAGATTGAGGCCTGCGACTTTCAGATTCCATGCGCGTCCGCAGAAGCATGCAAGGGGGGTCAGTCTGTTACAAGCAGAGTTGCATTTGCCGCACGGTGTTCATGACAATCGGTTTGAGAAGCCTGAAGTGACGCTTGATCCCTGCTGTGAGAGTTTAGGGCTTGAGAGCAATGCAAGCGTAGTTTCCCGCCTTCTAAGTCCGCGTCCTGTCATGTTCACTCATGTCTGGTGGCGCCGACTGGCCATTACGGGTCACCTTGGCTTGGGGCGCATTCTTGAAATGGACCGTGTTGTTTGGGAGATTGATGCATGCGCCTAGGCTGTCAGGCTGTCCAACAGTCCGACGGACAAGAGGTGCGGGATCGATTCCTCTAAAACTTTGGTCTTTACGAATACGAGGCGACCGCCAAGTTTGACTGGCAGGATTGCACAGCACTTGGCTCTCGACGATCCACCTACCCTCTTCAAGATCTAAGATCTTCAAAAATCTTCTGTTGTGCAGTAAGTAGTTTCAAAGCATTTTTTCTTCTCCCACCTGAATTTGTGTGTGGTTTTGCGCACTTTGTGAATTTTGGCTCAAAACTGAGAAAAAGAGAAGAAGAGCCTGTGCTTGGTTGAGGTCGGTGGAGTTTATGCTTGGAGGATTTCTGCCTAATTTCTCATTTTTTGACTGGTGTGGAAGCGAACGAGTTTACTGTTGAGCAAGAATGCCAAACAGTTCACCTTCTTTCTGTGCAAATCAGCAAGTGTTCACTAGCATGCACATGACTTGGCCACACGAGTCTTGGCCCCAAGACCTTCCAATCTTGGAAAATTTAAAAAAACTCTGAAAGCCGCTCAACTCCTGCAGTGCTGAACTGCTGGACACTGACATCGAAGGTCTAGGCGGTGGGCCAGGTGGCAAGTTCTGTGCATCAGAACAAGAAAATGCAAAACAGGATCAGCTACACAGAGCCAAAGGAAAGCTTTTTGCGGGCCTTTTTGCTTTAGCGGCTTGTAGATCTTTCCACTCGGTGTGAAACGGATCCAATCCAAGAACCAACCAACAAACTCGGAAGACAGCGACACCAAGAAAGGCCCAGCGCTCAGATTCAAGCTGTCGATGTTTTCACGAGGCTAAGCAGGTGGTGGAACGGTGGCAGATTTGCCATCTTCCAACCTTGAAGTCTTCATACACTCTCGGCTTCTGGAAACCAAGCGCTTGCACCTCTTTCCCGAAATTACTTGCACTGAAGGGAGACGTGCTTACGTGTTCCATGACGTGGACGTCAGCCCACTCAGCCTTCTGCAAATGTCAGCTCATGTTTTTGCCCAATACGCTACTTTGAGTGAGTGTGCAGTGTGTAAACTTTGTTCTGAAGGAGTTTAGCTCACATGTTGGTTGAGGCAGATTTGGGTTCGTGCTTTGAAGGAAAAGGTACCAGAAGCACCTTCAACTTTTCACATGGTAGCAGAGCTTGTACCTTGTGGTGCGAGTCCGTGTATGTCCTTGGTTGGCTGTCAGGACTTTGTGAGTGCCTGGATATCTTGTTGGTGTCTCGCACCGCCTTCAGCAGCAGAGTGGCATGTCACGCTAGCTAGCCCTTTTTTTGAGGTTTCTCGGGTGCAAGAGATTCAGATGTGCCTTGCGTGATAACCTTCTCATTCTGGGAAACAAAGCCAATTCGGGCATTCTCTCTGTCAGCACAACATCGGCAAGAGCCACGTGAGTTCGTAGCTTTGACTAATGCGTGTGCGGTCCTCCCTGCTCTGGCGCCGCAGGTTTCCAACCATCTTCCAGCCCTGCTGCGTGGTAGCTTAATCAGAAGGTGCTCCACTGCGCCCGGTTGGGAAGACCAGACTTGGTCTATCCTGTTGCATGACAAAGATGCTGCATGTCGCCGACCCGGACATTGGAAAGGCACAAGACTGTCCCTTTTGCTTCTCTCCCTCCTTCCTTTTCCTATATTAGTTGCGTTTTTGGACGCTCACCTTGGCGCGGCTCTCATTCCTCCCCATCTATTCTGCTTCTCTGCCCAGCAAGCTGCCGCCGTGCAGCGAAGTGCCAGAAGCTCTTGGTTGGACAAAGGTAAGGTGGCAGTTGTTTGGGAGGTTGCCGAGGGCCGCCCTTTGAGGTCGTGCTTGGCCGAGCTTTCTTCTACAGCACGTTTGAAGGCAGCTGGGCATTTGGCTAACCTTGCGGAGAATGGGCCACCCAGCATGGTCACATTCTCTGGGATTTTCACCAATGACATCCTCGTGACTCCAGACGGTGCTCTTTAGGCAGTGGACATTTGGACGTGTCCAAGTGGATGGTTGGCAACCCAGCCATGCTCGCGGCAGCACTTTGTGAAGGAGGACCCGCCAGGTGCCGGGTGATTGACCTTTACAAGGCGGAGCTCGCCAAGTGGGTCAATTCATATGTGGCGGCGTGCGTTATGGTTATGTTGTGGTTAGACCCTGTCCTGCTGAAGTCGCGCAGTGCCACACCCCGGCAAAAAAGCTGATCGAGTTTCCGGATTGCCTGGGGCGTTGGCATCAATGTGAGTTTTTCACGGCTTGGAAGCAGTCGAGGTGGAATACGAAGGCTATGAGCTGGGCGACTTGAAGATCGACGATTGGCAGTGGCGCACGATGAAGGGCAAGTTACCTGGATGCCGCCAGCTCTAAGTCCGAAGCATGGAAAATGGAGTTCCTGCGCAGCAAGCTGGTGCAGCCGATCATGTTGTGAACAATTCTTACAGTATAATACAGTAGAATGCCTCAGTTGCCTTGAAGACGGATTGCCTTGAAGACGGAATCCTGAGTGCGTTCCTTCCAGACTTAAGCTTTTGACTGCACACAAGCCGCTGCTTTCACACTTTGCTGCTGTCTGCAGGATTGGGTTTGCGTTGGAGGGGGCACCATGGCGCCTTCCACGAGCTTAGCCTCTTTGCTTTCCGAGCCCACGTCGCTTCAGTGCTTGCGCCGAGAGCATGAAATCGCTCGAGTCTTTTCTAGATCGCGTTTTTCGTGAGTTCATGCCCTCCCTGCCTTCCCTCCCTTTTTGCACCACTGCCTCGGAGCGCAGGATAGGGACCGAGATTGTCTTCGTCGTGCTCGTATCATTCAGTTTTGCCAAGGGGCTGCGTAGGTATTCTGTTTGTGCATTCCTGCCCTCCCCCCCAGTTCTTCTACCCGGTTTTTGTGTTTAAGTTATACACTTTGGATTGTCAACTGAAGGACATGCCGGCATCATTCTGTTGCAATGTCTGGTGTTACAACCCAAGGTGCGAAACTTACTGAGGCAAGCGTTCGCAGTGATCCATCTGCATGGTTCAGCTGTCGCATTCCCTGTTGGTTCAAGCAAGTGTGCGCATGCCACAGCATGCACATCATAGGCGCACATCGCTGCATCACGAGTTTGTTGGTGCGGCCGATTGTTTGTATGCCGTATAGACTCATATTGACAGCTGATAAGTCGATTACCTCATTGTCTACCCAAGCCACGAAGCATCACTCAAGGTTCTTGTTATCATGAGCACGCCGCATACGCGGAATACGGCTTTCAATGTAGAAAGCACAGCAGGCAACTCAGTTGGGCAAACGCAAAAATTGCGCAAGAAGTACACGTCAGCTACAGTCCCTGCGATGTTTTCTTGAGGTTGGAATGATGCCGCCCACCTCGGGATTTGCCGGGGCCGAAGATAGGTTCATGTGTGTCGAATCTATCAGCGCCACCTGAAGTTGAGATGTGGTCTGTGTGTCACAGCCTCGAATCTCTGCATGTCATAAATGCACGGTGCAATGAGAGCCAAACAACACGCTGACCAAGGGCTTCGATACTTCATTGATCGGAGATGACGGCTTGAGCCACGAAGGCCATGCCAGTACAATTGACAAGTTGTACATTTGTACATACGAAACCACTTGACTTTGGAAAGCTCCATGCTTGCACAGCGCAGCAACAGACGGCATTGACCTTTCAGGGCGACATGGGCATCGAGTGCCTTGGAGGCCATGGCTGGCTTCATGCACCCACCTTGACGTACGCGACTCTCTGTTTGCTTTTCCTGCTTTCCCTGTTGGTCGCCCAGCAGCCTCAAAAGGCAATATGCAGCGCTGGCAGCGTGGTTCCTGCTGCTCTTGCGATTTGGTTTGAAATGGCTTCGTTGATGTTGGAGCATTGTGGCCAGCGTGGTCTGCACTATCCGAGGTTGCAGTACTGCGTGGTGCGCATGGTCTGCCAGTCTCGCGGCTGCACTTGGATCCAGTTTGTCAGCACATAAAATCGTTCTGCTTATCACAATGTGAAGGACTGTAAGAATAGTAAGAAAGGAGTTTAAAGCATTTGAAATCATCGCTCTCTCGAAGACTCTTATGGACTCTTCGGCCTTCGTCGGATCTCTTCTTTGGCCCATCGTAAGTTGAGGGTCCAAGCCCGAAACGCTGAACCCTGAGAACCCACCTGGGCAGGCCAGAGATGGCGCCAAGGCGCGCGAAAACAAGCACGCGCGCACGGCACAGCTAAAATACCTGAACCCTAAACCCTAAACCCTAAACCCTAAACCCCAAACCCTAAACCCGAAACCCTGAACCCAATCCCCCCCCTTTTTAACTCACTCTAATGAGGTTTGGTGTTCCCCGCGATTGTCATCCGGACACCCGGCTCTTGGAGGTGGTTTACGACTTCCAGGTGATGTGCCTCAGCAGAATTCTTTAGGGTTTTGGGGTTTCGGGTTCAGGATTTGGGGTTTCTAGGGTTTATGGTAGTTTGGGGGGGGGCTTTTGGGGGCTGTCCTGTGCGAATTTGGGAGCTGGGGGGGGGTTTCGGACTTCCGGATGAGCGCGCAGGTTCGTCATGGGCTTCATGCTGGCTGTCCTCACCGGCGTGCACTTGCCAGACAGGCGCACTCTGGGCAGGATCTGGTAGGGTTTAGCGAGTATGATAGGGTTTAGGGTGAGAAGGTTAGGGATTTGCGGGGCCCCCTAAAGCTTGGGGGTTGACAGTTCAGGGTAAGAGGAGACCCTGCTGCGTCACGAGTCCACCGCAGGTTTGCCTATCTTTTCCGTTTCCGGAAGCCGCGGCCCCGCGGCTTCGCCTTTGTGGGGATCATGCTGCTCAGCGGGCCTGCCTGCGGCTCAGATATATTTGCAGGATGCAGACGTGGAGGGTCCAGGATGAAGGCGACGTCAAGGGCCCCCGAAGAAGAGTTTGGAGGAGACCCCGCGCAGCCCGAAAGGTTTTGGGGAGGCCCGAAACCCGAAAAACTGCTAAACCTGCGGAGCCCTAAACTCTAAAGACTCTAAACATCCCTATAAGCCCGAGACGGCCCGAGACGGCCCCCGAACCAGGCTTGGGGCTCCCTTGACTGCGTGGAGGAGCTCTCCAGGACTGTTTGGGAGCTTAAAGGGTTTCCTCTGAGCAAATGAGGGTGTTGTTTGTTTGTTTGTTTGTTCGTTTGTTCGTTTGTTCGTTTGTTCGTTTGTTCGTTGGTGTGTGTGTGTGTGTGTGTGTGTGTGTGTGTGTGTGTGTGTGTGTGTGTGTGTGTGTGTGTGTGTGTGTGTGTGTGTGTGTGTGTGTGTGTGTCTGTGTGTGTTTGTTTGTGTTTGTGTTGAATCCTCAGCTTCAAGCCCGAAAGCCTAAACCCTAAGCCCTAACCCCAAACCCCAAGCCCCAAACCCCAAACCCCAAACCCTACACCCGTAGAATCCACAGGATATCTTTCACAAGCGCCTACTTCCGCAACGGCGGAGCCAAGAGCCTCCTCATCGCCGGCGCAATCTTTGCAGCCGCGCTCGGCCTACTGCTCCTTGGAGCGAGAGGTGTATTCTGGGATGTTGCCCCCTTCTACTGACAGTCCTTAGTAGGGATGATTATAGTACCCTATTATAATCCTTATTAAGGACTGTGAGTATAAGGGGGAACATCCCAAGGTGCATTTCATGCTTGAATCTCTGCTTTATCCAGATGTGTATCGCAAAAAATGCTGCACATAAATTATTACCACCTATAGATGTACTGTAAACATACTGTAAATGCATACATAAATGAAAAGATAGTGAAGACAAATATGTGTACATATATGTGTATTATATAAATAGCTGATTACGGACTTCGGTAGCAAGTTCTGATATGTTACTCATGCGAGCAGTTTAGGCAGTGAAGGTTGTTCAAACAGTAAGTTTGAACGAGGCTTTGGCACTTCGTTTGTGCTTTCAAGCACAATCCGCTCTCAGGCGCGCTGGGTAGCCAAAACCGAAACCCGAAACCTTAAACCCTCCAAACCCCACACCGCGCTGTTTGTCCCTGTGAAGGATTTCTAGCGTACTGCTGCTCCAGACTGTCTGTGTGGCTCTTCTACGGCTTCTACCTCTTCGTTGCGTTCCCTCCTTGGACTCACTCCTAAACCTTAAATCCTGAGCCCTATCCCGAAAGCCTTAAGTTCTGTAGTGCAGATGCAGATGCACAGAGCTACTCAGGTCGCAAACTGCGGGTGTCTACGTCCACCTGCATCATTACATCATCGGCTTCCTTGTCGCCTTGCTTGCGGAGTTCAATCACCCCATCTCCTTAGTTCTGCTTGCAGCAGGCACATGCTTGGGGGGAAGGTTCAGAAGGTGTAGAAGGCTTAGAAGGCTTAGAAGGCTTAGAAGGTTCAGAAGGCTTAGAAGGTTTAGAAGGCTTAGAAGGTTTAGAAGGCTTTTTGAAGGTTTCCAAAAGTTTAGAAGGTCTAGGGTGACAAGGGCTCCCGAATGTTCGCGTGCCGCTGGGAGGCACCGGGGTTTTCGTCCAAGGCATTGCTGTCGCCGGGCAGCAAGGAAAGCCAGGTATTTTCACCTCCGGAGGCCCTATACAAACTTCGAACCCTAAACCCTAAACCCGAAACCCTAAACCCTAAACCCTAAACCCTAAACCCCAAACCCCAAACCCCAAACCCTAAACCCTAAACCCTAAACCACAAACCAAAGAAGAAAAAGGGTGCCTCTCATAGCGCGGCTTCTCAGCTCCAAGGCTTACGATGCCGATCCCGTCATTGCCTCCTGGCGTGCAACACGGGCCAGACCTCCAGTCACCCGAAACCCTACTTCGCAAACCCGAAACCCTAAACCCTAAAGCCCAAACCCTGAACCCCTAAACCCTAAACCCTAGACACTAAACCCTAAACCCTAAACCCTAAACTCTGAGCCCCAAAATCCTACCTCACACCTCCCACGAACTTTTATAGCCCAAGTCGTGGTGATTTCAGCACGCCTTCGATTCGAGGTGAAGCAGCGGCTCCTCCTGTTCTGACCTTGGCAGTTTGGAGCCTACGAGAAGTGATCTTGGGGGCTTCCGAAAGTAGGGGGTGCCCTTTTGGGCGGGGTTGTTTTAGGGGATTCGATTCTACTTGGGGGTAGAAACGGGCAGCCCCTGTTTGGGAAATACCCATATGTTTCATGTGCACAACCCATCCCTACTCTGTCAACTCTGCGGATGCAGCAGCTCGCCTCGTGGCGCAAGCTCGCGCCCAAAGCAGCTTCGGCTCCCGGTTGAAAGAGGTTGCCATCCAGCACGAGACTCTTCTAAGCCCACCCTTCTCTTGCATCAACGATGCTTAGGGTTTAGGGTTTAGGGTTTAGGGTTCCTCAACAACCCCCTACCCGAAACCTTCCAGCCCTAAACCCGGAACCCAAGGGGCCCAAAAATTGCGGCTTCGAAGAGGAAGTCTATATAGCAAAGCTCCAATGTCCTGAACCCCTAAACCCTAAACCCTAAACCCTAAACCCTAAACCCTAAACCCTAAACCCTAAACCCTAAACCCTAAACCCTATGCCCTAAACCCTAAACCCTAAACCCCTGGGAAACGTTGAAGCTCCGATCGCGTGAGCGCTTGGCACCTCGCGCGGCCTCTGTGGGCTCGCAGTGTTCCCCGGTACCTTTTGACGAAGCGCGGGGTGGCCCAGATGCCTGCCTAGCCTGCTTATTGTTACTGTTATTTGTACTGTTCTTGTATGCTTCATGTTGTTATTGTTACTGTTATTGTTATGGTTGTTGTTTTTGTTTTGGTTATTGTTATTGTTATTCTTGTTGTTATGTTCATTTTTATTGTTATTCGTATTGTTATTGTTACTACTATTTGCATTACGATCCTGATAATTAACCATGTATTTGAGAAGCATGTCCTCCTTGTCTTTTTCTTGTCAGTCGTTCCTTTGGTGGTCAGCCTCCGGTCACCGCACCTGAAGGACTCGCAGGGGGGTACGTTGATGCCGCGCAGTGCCTCGGAGGTTTTGGGAAACGTGTTGAGGTGCTTTCGCTCAAGCAAAGGGTGTGAGCTTGGAGTCCTTGTCTATGTCTTTCGAAGCGGTCTGGGAAAAATGTCGCGGGGTCACTTGAGGGCTTCCGAAGCGCCACCCACAAAGCTCCACGAAGCTCCACGACCTTTCGCCCACCTCCCAGCTTCACCCCTGGGTAGTTTTCCAAAGTAGGGCCCCTCTCTGGGTCCTTCTTCTCACAGACGGGATCTAAAGGGACCCTACTGTAGAGAACTGCCCATGTAGCCTCTGTAGCACAACAGAAGCCCTCCGACCCTCCTCAAGGCACCCCTAATCCTTAAACCCTGAACTCCAAACCCTAAACCCTAAACCCTAAACCCTAAACCCTAAACCCTAAACCCTAAACCCTAAACCCTGAGGTTGCCTTTGATGGCCTTCAGCAGCGGCGTGAAGCTTGGCGACCTCGACGACTTCATCTCCCCCTCGCAGGAGACGGGAGGGCGATTGGGTCTAGGGTTTAGGGTTTAGGGCTAGGGTTTAGGGTTATTGGGCGATTGGGTCTAGGGTTTAGGGCTAGGGTTTAGGGTTTAGGGTTATTGGGTTTTAGGGTTTAGGGGCCCTTTTCAAACTCGGTGGGGGCAGAATTTGCCTTGGTGGTCATGGCTGCGATGCTGCGCAACGCTAATCTCGCAGAGCCCTGCTTGCTGTTGGGGGATCTTTCCCAGGAATGCGTGAAGCCGCTGATTGAGGCCCCGCTCTCTGTGGAGGGCATTGGGTTCCAGTGACATCGGACATCTCTTCATGCCCGAGAGCAGAGTATAGCAGCGCTATCTCAGGCTGCCGAAGGCAACAGCAAAAGCGCACGCAACCCAGCACTTCCTCTGCCTTCGGTCTCGGTCGTTCTGGACAGCTGCTCTGTCAGCTGCTTGTGGAGCATCCACAGCCCCAAGAAGTGGAACCCCCCCCCCCCTTCTTCCTATGCCAGGCTTTCGCTTTGGAAGTGCAGCCCAATCTTCCCGAGCCCGAAAACTCCCAAAACTCCCCGCCGTTTTTGCTTGGATCTTGAGGCCAAACTTTCTTCGGTCAGCGAGGCTCGGGCACTTCCCGTGGCTGAGGCAGGACATTGTCGTACTCATGCGAGTTTCTTCCTGGCAGTCTTCTTTCTTTGCATTTTCCACTATCTTCTTCTTCTTCTTCTGTGTGCTGTCTTCGGTTCGGCTTCTTCCTGTGCTCCCGTATCACCTGCACCTTGAACTCCGAATCTCCGAAACCCTACGGGCTGCGAGCCTTACATGCGATGCCCCAACCAAGCTCTTGCTCTCCTCCGATGAGACAAGTGCAGACTTGTCAC